CCAGAGACCAACGGGCAAGCAGAAAGAGCGAACAGTATACTCCCGCAATACCTACGCTGCTATGTCAGCGAGAGGCAGAACGCTTGGGTAGAACAACTAGCGCTGGCTGACTTCGCGGACAACAACGCGGAACACGTGTCCACGGGAATGAGCCCATTCTGGGACAACCAGGCGTGTCATCCCAGGGACTTCCCGGGAGTGGGGAGGAAAGCTGGAGCGCACCCGCCGCAGAGCAGTTTGTGGAGGAAATGGAGGCCCTACACCAGCAACTTAAGATGAACTTGGAGCGGGCCAAGGAAACTTACAAGAGGCAGGCAGACAAGCACCGCAGGGAAGGGGAGACCATACGGGTGGGGACCGGGTGTGGTTGTCCACCCAAGGGCTACCTTTCAAAGGGGGGTGCAAGAAGTTGCAGCCCAGACGGCTGGGACCTTTTGAGGTAACACAGCAAGTTAATCCCGTGGCATTTAAGCTCAGGTTGCCTGATAGCATGAAAATACACCCGGTTTTCCATAGGTCCCTGCTTTCACCGCATAGGGAAGGGCGGGAATTCCAGGGGCAAGAGGGAGAAGTCACCACACACCCGCAGGTAGAAGAAAGGAACACCACCACAGGGCCACGGAAATACTGGACTCAAGGTGGCAAGGGCGCCGGGTGGAGTATTTGGTAGCGTGGGAAGGGGAACCCAGGTCCGAAAACACGTGGGTCCCCACGGAAGCCGCCGAGGACAGGTATCTGGTGGAGGTATTCCACCACCGGTTCCCGGACAAACCCAAACCCCTGGAGAGATTCTGGGAGGAGCACGTTGGAACCACAGATGTGGACGGGGTTGTTGGGGGATGTTCTGACTCCGAGGAGGGCGGAGAGGTGTCGGAGGACGACGCCTCCGACGGGGAAGACCACCCCGCTGGTAGGTGGAAGAGCGATTGGGAAGCGGGTCTCAACCCACGGAAGATGGTGACAGTTCCTTCCGGGCTTCTCGCCTCCTCGGCCGACGAAGGGGACGGGCTGGTCCCACAGGTCGGCCCAGGGGTGGAGGGGACTTGGGGAGGTGGATGTCAGGGAACTGACATCAGAGCGAGAGGCGAAGGGGAGGCTCCTGGATGATGCTGGAGAAGGACCCAGCAGCAGGGGGAGAGGCGACTCAGTGGAGGGGGAAGCATTTAAGCGCAACACCAGGAACAAAAGTGAGCAGATGGGAAAATCGGAGAGAGGGCTCACGGACTCTTCACTGGAACTCAGTGAGGAGGGGACAGGTCCCTCGCTACCCACGCCCACCCTGCGCAGAAGGCTCCCGCGCAGTGAGAGGCGGAGGCGATTGGGTGTCAAACAGCTCTTATGTTGGAAGAGATTCAAGAAACGCCCACTGACGGATTCTGCTAGTGACTGAGACAGTCCTGATCAGAAGGGGCTGTGCAGTCAGAAAGGTTTAACAAGGCAAATCAGCCTAGAGAGGCACCAGTTTACGCACGAGTAACTCATACTCATTA